GAGGGTTTAGGGTTTAGGGTTTAGGGTTCGGGGTTTAGGGTTTAGGGTTTACAGTAAACCCTAAACCCTTATTCCAGGCCAGTACCAGGAAAACGCTAGAGGGCCTTGTGGTCTTGCTTAAAAGCAGCTGCTGCGTTTCGGGTTAGGGTTTAGGGTTTAGGGTTTAGGGATTAGGGATTAGGGTTTAGGGTTTAGGGTTTAGGGTTTAGGGTTTGTGATTCAGGATGAGCGGGAAGAGTTATATTCGATGAACCTTTCAAACATTTCGGCTCTCTTTCTTCATGCGGGTGAGACTTAGGGTTTAGAGCGTAGGGTTTAGGGTTTAGGGTTTAGGGTTTAGAATTTAGCAGTGCATTTTGTGTGCGCACGTGCGACGAGCTTCCATCTGTCAGTTTCGTTTGCGACGAAGTCCCTTCTTCAGGGTTCAGGGTTTAGGGTTTAGGGTTTAGGGTTTGCGCTGCAGAAAACGCATACTTCTACGCCTTAGCTCTCTTTATTTTCGTTGCGGGGTGGAGGCCAGACCTCTGTGGGGCCCGACGCTTAGCTCAGCTGCTGACGCGGTTGGTGGTGCAGCCGGGGGGTGCTGCTGCTGCTGCTGCTGCTGCTGCTGCTCCGCAGCAGCAGCAGCAGCAACAGCTGCAGCAGGCTGCTGCAGCAGCAGAGGGGGCACACGCCTCCTCTGCTGCAGCAGCAGCAGCACATATGCCTTCGCACGTTGAAAGGCAGCGCGAAGTTTCTGCTGCTCAGCTTTATCTGCTGCTGTCAAATCTAGATGAGTACGTTCACCAGCAGCAGCAGAAGCAACAAGAGCAGCAGCAGCAGCAGCAGCAGCAGCAGCAGCAGCAACGGCGATGCTGCCTATTATTTTCAGCCATTTGCGTCTTTCCTTTCTATTTACTTCCTGCAGGGTATTTTAGGGTTTAGGGTTTAGGGTTTAGGGTTTAGGGTTTAGGGTTTAGGGTTTAGGGTTTGTTATGTGCGCAGGTTTCCACGCTTGGCTTCTTTATTTCGTAGCATTACGCGTTCTCTCTTTATTGGGGTGGATATACACCTCGCGCCTGCTGATGCATGCGACTTGGCGGATACAGTTGAGTTGCTGCTGCAGCAGTTTGAAGCGCAGCAGCAGCTGCTCTACGAACGCCCAGCCCCACCAAAGAAAGCAGCAACTGCAACAGCAGCAGCAGAAACAGCAGCACCAGCAGCAGCACCAGCAGCAGCACCAGGTGACGCCGTGGAGCCGGGCGGAAGCCGCACCAACACGGAACACTTGGGGCACAATGCTGCTGCTGCTGCTGCTGCTGCTCAGCAGCCACAGCAGCAGCAACTGCAGCAGCACCACCACCAACACCAGGTGCAGCTGGATCAGTTTCACCTACAAGGCCTTGCTGCTTCCCCCCTACAGCTGCAGCAGCAGCAGCAGCCGCAGCAGTATGTGCAAGGGCTGCAACACCTGCCGCCACCCATGCAACTGGAGCAACAACTGCAGCAGCAGCAGCAGCAACAGCAGCAGCAGCAGCGCACCAAAAGGCGCCGCAGCATCGATGAGAGTGTTCTAACGCTCGACAGCAGCAGCAGCAGCGACAGCAGTAGCCTCAGCAGCAGCAGCCTCAGCAGCAGCAGCCTCAGTAGCAGCACAACTGGATTCAGCAGCATGCGTTTGCAGCAGCAGCAAGAAGAGCAGCAGCAACTGCAGCAGCAGCAACAGCTGCTACAGCACACCCTCGCCCATCAGCAGCAGCACCCCTACTACCTGCACCCGCACCAGCAGCACCCACAGCAGCAGCAGCAACAGCAGCAGCAGCAACTGCAGCAGCAGCAAGTTGATTCAGGCAGCGCACAGTCTGTAGAAGACGAGGTCTTAGAGCTGCCCTCTGCAAGCCAATATGGGGTTTCAAGACCGTGGCATTTGGAGTACCGCAGGACCCGGTAAACCCTAAACCCTAAACCCTAAACCCTAAACCCTAAACCCTAAGCCCTCATAGATCTGGAAGGGTTGGGCTCTCCCCTGCCAACCATATGCTAGTGCTCGTTCCGTCTTCCAGTGCCCGCAAAACCCTAAACCCTAAACCCTAAACCCTAAACCCTAATATGGCTTTGTTTGTACAGGGGTGCCCCTGTGGAGCCTCCGCTTGCTGCGTTGAGGGAGACGGCTCTGTTGGATTCGCTGTTAGAAGACTTCGTAAACCCTCGTTTGCTGCTGCAGCAGAAGCACCAGACATCGCACAGGCTGAACAGCAGCAGCAGCAGCAGCAGCAGCAGCAGCAGCAGCAGCAGCAGCAGCAGGGGAGGTGGAGAGCCACAGTTTCTTAAGTATGCAAATCTACTCGTAGCTCTCTGCGTACGAAGCGCGTACGAATTAACTCGCCGCTGGTGGGAAGGAAGGAAGCAGCAGCGGCAGCAGCAGCAGCAGCAGCAGATGCTGCTGCTGCAGCACGAACACGAGCAGCAAGCGGAACATGAGCCCTGGCAATTCGATGGAGACCCTGAAGAAATGCAAAGAAGCTCCGATGAGGTCAGCGTACTTTAGGCCACACGGCTTAGGGTTTAGGGTTTAGGGTTTAGGGTTTAGGGTTTAGGGTTTAGGGTTTAGGGTTTAGCATGCCACGAGAGGGAAATCTTTGAGACCTTTCAACAGCTTAAAGCAGCACATTCTGAAAATTCGCCCCCTGTGCCCCACGACCTCCTGTTTAGGGTTTAGGGTTTAGGGTTTAGGGTTTAGGGTTTATGCGATTCAGTGGTCTAGCAACCATTCTTCTCTCTCCGATATCTCCGACTCCGAGCAGCAGCGGCTGCAGATGGAGGATTTGTTTGAAGAGCCAGAGCATCATTTACCAGGCAAGTAGTAGCAGCAACAGCAGCAGCAGCAGCAGCTGCTGCTGCTGCTGCTGCTGCTGCGGGAGTGGCAGCAACAGCAGCAGCAGCAGCAGCTGCGGCAGCAGGAGGTGCTGCTCTTGCTGCTGCAGATCCCGCTGCAAGAGCTGTGCTGCTGCTATCGGAGCACTTACTGCTGCTGCTGCTGATGCTGATGCTGCTGCTGATGCTGATGCTGCTGCTGCTGCTGCTGAGCGGTGTAGCCGCAGCCTTTATGCTTCTGCTGCGTGTCCTGCTGCTACGCTTGCTTCTGCTGCTTCTTCATGGCTGCTGCTGTTTCTGCTGCTCTTGCTGCTGTTGCTGCAGGTGCCTCATTCCGAACGCAGCAGCAATTCTTTAAGCAGCAGCAGGTGGAGGACAAGGCCCCGCTGCTCTTGCAGCAGCAGCAGCAGCAGCAACAACAACAACAGCCACTCTTCATCCCGCAGCAGCAACAACTGCACCAGCTGCAGCAGCAGCAACACCATCCTCCGCAGCAGCTCTACACACCGGACCAACTGATGTATATGCAGCAGCAGCAGCAACAGCAGCAGCAGCAGCAGCAGCAGCTGATGATGCAGGGATTTCACCCAATGCAGCAACTGCAGCAGCAGCAACAGCAGGGACCCAGCTTTGGCCATTCCTATGATATGCTGCAGCAGCAGCTGCAGCAGCAGCGTCTGCAGCAGCACCAACAGCAGATGCAACAGCCACAGCAAATGCAGCCACTGCAGCAACAGCAACTGCAGCAGCAACAACAGGAACAGCTGCAGCAGCAACAGATGCAACAGCACCAGCAGCAACAGATGCAGCACGAGCAGCAGCAGATGCAGCACCAGCAGCAATTTGGACAGCAACTGCTGCACCAGCAGCTGCAGCAGCAACAGCTGCAGCAGCAGCAACTGCAGCACGAGCAACTGCAGCAGCAGCAGCTGCAGCAGCAACAGCTGCAGCAGCAGCAGCTGCATCAGCAACAGTTGCAGCAGCAGCAACTGCAGCAGCAACAGTTGCAGCAGCAGCAACTGCAGCAGCAACAGCTGCATCAACACCAACTGCAGCAGCCGCTGCAGCAGCAGTTACAGCAGCCGATGCTGCAGCCCTATTTCTCGCCAATGCAGCACGAGCAGCAACCGGCTCCGCTTCCGCCGGAGCAGCAGCAACAGCAGCAGCACTTGTTCATGCAGCAGCAGCAGCAGCAGCAGCAGCAGCAATTGCACCAGGAGCCGCAGCTGCTGTTTGCTGAAGCCCTCAACACAGAAGACGCCTGGGAGAAGAGGAGTGACTATGATACCTGTAGGCTGCTGCTGCTGCGGTTGCTGCTGCTGCGTTTGCTGCTGCTGCTGCTACATTTGATGCTGCTGATGCTGCATTTTCTGGTGCTGCTGTTGCATTTGCTGCTGCTGCTGTTGCATTTGCTACTGCTGCTGTTGCATGTGCTGCTGCTGCCGTTGCATTTGCTGCTGCTGCTGTTTATTCCGGCCCATAGATTTTAGGGTGCTGCTGCCTGGTCTGTGCACTTGCTTCTCTACTGCAGCTTCTGTAACGCAGAGCAGCAGCAGCAGCAGCAGCAGCAGCAGTAGCAGCAGCAGCAGTAGCAGCCTGGCCTCCAGCAGCATCGTAACTTCTGTGACTCCATCCCCTGCGGGCAACCGCGAATGGCAGCAGGAGGAGGAGGAGGAGCAGCAGCAGCAGCAGCAGCCGTGGCAGCAGGAGCAGCAACTGCAGCAGCAGCAGCAGCAGCAGCTATACTTTGGAGGCGGAAAGGCTTTCAACGCGTACACATCCCCTGGCGGTCTCCCTATGACTTCTGCCTCCTCCTCCTCAGCAGGAGGTGCAGCAGGAGCAGCAGCAGGAGCAGCAGACACGAGCAGCCTGCTAGGCAGCGAGGTGTATGTCAGTGCAAGCGGCAGCAACAGACTGGGCAGAGGCAGCCATCTCCCGCAGCGACAGCAGCAAAGAATAAGTCGTAGATTTCATCTTTACTCAAAATCTGTAGAAAGCTACAAAGCAATTGCAAGAAAAGAGCTGCTCGAGGTACAAACCCTAAACCCTAAACCCTAAACCCTAAACCCTACAGTGTTAGAGTTTACGGTCTAGGGTTTAGGCGCACTTATCTGTTATCAACCACCCTCACTCCTGAAAAGGTGCTCTTAACATGGTTTAGACCCTTAGGGTTCAGGGTTTAGGGTTTAGGGTTTAGGGTTTAGGGTTTAGGGTTTAGGGTTTAGGGATTAGGGTTTAGGGTTTAGGGTTTAGGGTTTGCGGGTTCAGATCTATCGAATTTGTCGGAGGGAAGACTGGACTTTAGTAGACAAGTGGCAGGCCCTGTTGGGGTGTATGGGCACTAACGTTGCTGCTTCAGCAGTGTTGTCTTTTGTGCGGCAGCAGCTGCTAGGCAGCAGCAGCAGCAGCAGCAGCAGCAGCGCAGCAGCAGCAGCAGGAGACGCAGCAGCAGATCCCCTTCTCCTCGTCACTGACGGCCTCCTCGTGCTGCTCAAGTTTATGGTGGATGTACACCGCAACAAACGGCCTCCCGTTGTAGATCTCTTAGGGTATGCATGCAGCAGCAGCAGCAGCAACAGCAGCAGCAGCAGCAGCAGCAGCAGGCACAAATACAGCAGGGCAGGGACAGCGTTGCTGCTGTCGGCTATACCTTGTATCTTCGGAGAGAAAAATGAATAAAGGGTTTGGAGCTTTAGGGTTTAGGGTTTAGAGATTTAGGGTTTAGGGTTTAGGGTTTAGGGTTTAGGGTTTGTGGGGTCCTCAGGCGATTATTTGTATCTGGCGGCAACCGCGGAGAAGCCCCTGCCTTTGCGGAGAAGCGCATGGAGGTATTTCAAGGGTTTAGGGTTTAGGGTTTAGGGTTTCAGGGGTTTTGCTGCTGCCAGCCATTGGTTTGAGCAGCCGAGTGCATTTCACCGCTGCCGCTGCTGCTGCTGCTGCTGCTGCTGCCTGCTTCCCGGCGCTGCTTGTTCTATTGCTGCGCTTCCTACTGCTGCTGCTGCTGTTGTTGCTGCTGCTGCTGCAGCGGCGGGTGTCTATCGCTCGCTTTTGGCTGTACGTCTGCAAGTATGAAGGAGAATTTGTTGCTGTTATCTCTGTCTTCAAGCGCGTTGTAAGCCCTAAACCCTAAACCCTCGCGAGGCAGACGTACTAGCACAGCAAACCCTAAACCCTCAGCAGCCACAATCGAACGCCTGAAACCCTAAACCCGAGTCAACCTCTGCTTGTAGGAGCAAGGGTTTGCCGAAGAGGGTTAAGGCTTTAGGGTTTAGGGTTTAGGGTTTAGGGTTTAGGGTTTAGGGTTTGGGCTGTGTGTGCTGCAGTACACGCATACAGACCGAAGCATCTGCCGCTTCTTTCTTTCGGAGTTGCTGCGGCTCTGCGGCCCCCCCTTTGCTTCTTATTTTTGTTTGTCTCTATTGCAGCTAATAGCGCAAGTCATATCAACAGGTGCAAACCCTAAACCCTAAACCCTAAACCCTCAGCACTGTGTGCAGTGCGACGAAATCTTATCCCCACGGAGAATGGATATTATAGGATGCCTTTCTTTGCATCTGAATTGCCTTTCTTCTTGTCTAGGGTTTAGGGTTTAGGGTTTAGGGTTTAGGGTTTAGGGTTTGTGGTTTGCGTTTAGAGAAGAGTGCGTTTAGAGGCAGCGAAGTAGAAGGAAGGAAGCTGCGGTCTGGGGTTTTGTCTTTCATTGATCAAACCCTACGCTTCTGCAATGCGCCGCATCCTGTACCTGCTGAGGTGAGGGGTTTAGGGTTTAGGGTTTAGGGTTTAGGGTTTAGGGTTTGTCTTTTGCTTTAATTCGAGTGGATATACACCTGAGGGTTTAGGGTTTACGTTGTCAGTGAGGGCACAAGGGGGGCTGGCTGCGGCAGGGGTGCGCATGATTGATGTTAGGGTTTAGGCTTTAGGGTTTAGGGTTTAGGGGTTGAGGCCTGATGGTAGGGTTTAGGGTTTAAAGGGGAGGTCGGCGGTTACGGTTTAGGGTTTGGTGTTCGGGCTTGGGGTTTAGGGTTTAAGGCTAAGGGTTGAGGGGGTGGTGTTAGGGCGTAGGGTTTGATGTTAGGGTTTAGGGTTTATGGTTTAGGGTTTAGGGTTTAGGGTTTGTGCTTGTGCTGCTGCTGCAGGTAGCTGAGCTAGCTCAAGCGGTGCGGGTGCGCTTGCTGGCTCTGCCGCAAGAAGAAGCATGAGGGTTTAGGGTTTAGGGTTTAGGGTTTAGGGTTTGGAAGACGAACAACTCTTGGACTCAGGTTGTCTTTGAGGCTTTGTTTTCTCTAGGCTTCTCCCCCAGGGTTTAGGGTTTAGGGCTTAGGGTTTAGGGTTTAGGGTTTAGGGCTCATTAGAAAAACAGCGGTGAATTGCAGTCAGCATAAAACGGAGGGAGATTAAATAAATAAATAAATAATAAATAAATAAATAGATAGAGAGATAAGTAGATAAATAGATAAATGAACAAATAGATAAATAGATAAATAAATAAATAAACAAATGGATATTAAATAGATATAAAGAGATAAAGAGATAAAGAGATAAAGAAAGATATAAAGCAACGGAGTGTACACGAGGAAGAAAAACATAAAAAGAAATAAATAAACAAACAAAGAGAGACAGAGACAGAGACAGAGACAAACAAATAAAAATAAATATAAATAAAAAGAGAGAGAGAGACGAATAAAAAGAATAACAGCAGGGGCAGCTAAACAAAACAAAACAACAACAAAAAAACAAAAAAAATAAAAAAACATTAACTCCAGCAACGCCGCAGCAGAAGAAGCAAGCAACAACAGCAGCGACAGCAAACAGCGACAGCAGCAGCAGCAGCAGCAACAGCTGCAGCAGCATCAGATAAAACGAGAATCTTCTTATGGCTGCCTGTGAAAACCCTCCCCTGCTCGTCTACGGTTTAGGGTTTAGGGTTTAGGGTTTAGGGTTTTTTAAAACAAAATAAATTGTCTGAGTGTGGAGGTTGCGGGTTCGATACCTGGCATTTATGAAAAAGAAAAAATATATTTATTTTAATTTATTTTTATTTATTTTTATTTATTTATTTATTATTATTGAATAATAAACATTACTACGGACGTTTAGAGTAAAATAAAATGAATATTAATAATATAAAATATAATTAATATTTTTTTGTTTAATATAAATATAATCTTTTTGTTGTTTGATATAAAATGTAAACAGTATAATATATATATATATATTTAGTATGCGTTCAGTACAGCCGATAGGGGGGCTGTAAAGAGGCATTTTCTGGTGGTTTTTGCTGCTTTAAAATGTAAAAATGATTAATAATATAATAATTAATTAATTTTAATGTTTATTTCGTTAAAAAAACAAACAAAAACAACAAAATATGAGCAGAGAGAGAGCCGGGGGTCACTGCTGCCGACTGCAGACCAGCGGGGAGGAGAGCCGGGGGTTGTTGTGATAATTTCTTTGCTTATTTTAAGCATTTTATATTTAAATACAATAAATAATTGATTAATATAATTTAAATTAATATATTTGATTGATATTTCACGAGAAAAAGCAGATAATGTAAGCCGACTGTAAGGGATCCACCGGCAACGGCAATGACAGCAGCAACAGCAGCAGCAGCAGCAGCAGCAGCAGCAACAGCAGCAGCAGCAGCAGCCTTAGTGTGTTTTTGCTACTTTTGTATGCATTAGACGGTTTAGAATCTCTTCATTGTTGGTTTATTATTCTTGTTTCCTTGTCTTTGCCTCAGCATTACCCTTCCTGCTGCAGCACCACTCACTGGGCAGGCTCTGCTGCTGCTGCTGCTGCTGCTGTTGCTGCTGTTGCTGCTGTTGCTGCTGAGGCGGGGCGGCTTGGCAAATACAAACCTCTCTCCTCTGTCTATTTCTTCTTTTTGCTTCATCTCGTTTGTTTTAGAGCAACAGACGCTGCTTCTTTGCTGCTATCTGCTGCAGACCCTCGCTTTGCTTCTTTCCTAACGAACGCCCGCTTCCAGCCTAAGGTCACCCACAAACAGGGGAGCAGCAGCAGCAGCAGCAGGAGCAGCAGCAGCAGCAGCAGCAGAAGTAGCAGCAGCAGCAGCACAGCAACACCAGCAGCAAGAGAGCAAGCAGCAGCAACAGCAGCAGCAACAGCAGCAGGAGCAGCAGCAACTGCATCGGGTTGCTGCTGTTGCAGTATCGCAGGTGTCTGTACACCTCAAGTCTTTAACTCCTTAGTTCTACACAAGGCCTCCAAGGGGCCCCTTTGGCCGCTACGGTCGGTTTTGCTGCAGCAACAGCAGCAGCTAATCGATATAGCAAGCAGCATATTTCAAGCAGCAGCTGCAGCAGCAACAGCAGCAACAGCAGCATCAGCAGCAGCTGCAGCAGTTGCATCCTACAGGCAAGCCCTGATCAGCAGCGGCTGCCGCTGGTGAGAGACTATCGGATAGTTTGCTGCTGCTGCTGCTGCTGCTGTTGCTGTTGCTGCTGCTGCTGCTGCTGCTGTTGTTGTTGTTGTTGCTTCCCACAGAATTTGGCAAAAAGCGGAACAAATATTAAAAAAAGCAAAACCAAACCTGCAGCAGCAACAGCAGCAGCAGAAGCAGCAGCAGCAGCAGCAGCAGCAGCAGCAACGTTGGTGTGTTTGTGATGTGCTGCAGCAGATAGATTTCTACTGTCTCTTCACTGTCTGTCTCTGTCTTCTTTCTGTCTTTAACATGCACGCTTCGGGGCCCCTGCTGCTGGGGGCCATACCTCTGCCTCCTTCTCCTTCCCAGCAGCAGCAGCAGCAGCAGCAGCAGCAGCAGCAGGAGTCGCTCGACTGCTTGGGGGAAGGCTGCGCTGTCCGCTCAGTCTGCTCTACCCAAGGGCCTGCTGTTGCTTATGCTGCAGCAGCAAAACGGTATTCGCTAATATCATCAGTTATTAAAGATAAATTAGCAGTCTCTTGGCGTATCAACGACTTCCTCGGGGTTTGGTCTCTTGCAAAACGCAGATGTAAACCCTAAACCCTAAACCCTAAACCCTAAACCTTCGATTTAATCCGGAGGTGAAGGCTGCCCGCTGCAGCAAGAAAGAACTTTACTCCTCTACTGCTGCTGCAGAGTCTCTTCCTGCTGCTGCTGCTGCTGCTGTTGCTGCTGCTGCTTGTTATTCTACACAATCTACCCTCCTTTCACCATCCATATTTTTGCTGCTTCTGCTGCTGCTGTTGCTGCTGCTGTTGTTGCTCCTGCTGCTGCTTCCACTGCTGCTGTTGCTTCCCTTGCTGCTTCTGCTGCTGCTGCCTTTGCTGCTGCTACACCCCTACTTCTGCTGCTGCTCCTCCCCTGTTTCTGCTGCTGCTGTTTCTGCTGCTACTGTTACTGCTACTGCTACTGCTGCTGCTGTTGCTGCTGCTGCTGCTGCTGGTGCTGCTGCTGCTGCTGCTGCTGCTGCTGCTGCAGTTTTGCGGCCTCGCAGTGAGGATCAGTACATCGACTCGCATTTGTTTGGAGACGGCGCCTCAGGGCGGTGGTTTTTGCGGATATACCCCTGCGGAGATAAAAAGAATAGCGGCTCACTAGAACTATATTTAATGCTAGAGAGCAGCTTGCCTAGAGACCTTCTAGTGCATTATAAGCTGCAAGTTGTTAGGCCCCCAAAGCATCAGCAGCAGCAGCACCAAATGCAGCAGCAACAAATGCAGCAGCAAATGCAGCAACAGATGCAGCAACAGATCCTCCAGCAGCAGCAACAAAGGAGACATACTGTCCAAACAGATACTGCTGCGGGGGCGAATGCTGCTCCTGCTGCTCCTCCTCCTGCTGCTGCTGCTGCAGATGAAACAGCCAGACGTAGAAGGAGGCATAGAAGGGACCATGCGCAGCAGCAAACCCTCAACAACAGCAGCAGCAGCAGCAGCAGCACCGGCAGCACAAGCAGCAGCAGCAGCAGCAGCAATAATAGTAGAGGTGCAGCAGAGTCAGAAGGAGGCAGCCAGCGCGCCCCTCGCAGCGGTTGCAGCAGCAGCAGCAGCGGCAACAGAGACAGGCAGCAGCAGCATGAAGCACTTCGTCAACGGCAGCGTGGCAGCAGCAGCAGCAACGACGGCCGCACCAGCAGCAGCAGCAGCAGCAGCAGGAGGCTCAACCACGGCCGCGAACGAAGAAACAGAGAAGCAGAAGCAGAAAGAGTGATTGGCTATGAAGACAGCGATGTCTACAGCAAACAAGAGCCCGGCGTCGGCTACGGCCCCACACACCTCTGCGACGGTCTGCTGCTGCTGCTGCTGCTGCTGCTGCTGCTGCTGCTGTTGGTAGTAGTAGGAGGAGTAAGGGTTGAGGTATTGGGGTGTCTCTCTCTTTCGTCTGTCCCTGGGTCTTCTGTACTGCCCCTCAACGCATGCCTCCATGCTTCTGCTGCTGCTGCTGCTGCTGCTGCTGCTGCTGCTGCTGCTGCTGTTTGCTTCAGTGAGCAGCAGGAAGAAAGTCGAGGAGTTGCTGTGGCCAGACGGCTCGCTGTTAGTTGCAGTCTTCATGGAGTGCCCTACGCCTATTCACGAGAGCAGCGTCCCTGCAAATAAAAGCAGCAGCAGCAGCAGCAGCAGCAGCAGCAGCAGCAGCGAGATCGCGGCACCGCCGTCCAACTCCCACGGGCTCTTCTCAATGCTGTCTCCTTTTGCGCCGTTCACAGTCTCCAACCTGCAGCAGCAGCAGCAGCAGCAGCAGGTTCTGGGCTTTGGCTGTTCTTTGCGTCCTGCTTCTTTCGGAGGCTCCCTCCCCTCCTCCACAGCAGCAGCAGCAGCAGCAACAGCAACAGCAGCAGCAGCAGCAGGAGCAGCAGCAGGAGCAGCAGGCAGCGTGGCTAGCGAAGTCGCCTCTTACATTCTTTCTTCGCCTCCTGATTTGCTGCTGCAGTTCGCTGGACGCCAATTCGCAGCAAATAAAATCGCCCTAGCTGCATGCTCAAGGGTCAGCTAGCTAGCCAACACCTAGCTAGCTAGCCAACAGACAGCTAGCTAGCCAACACCTAGCTAGCTAGCCAGCAGATAGATAGCTAGCCAACACCTAGCTAGCTAGCCAACAGATAGCTAGCTAGGCAACAGATAGCTAGCTAGCCAACAGCTAGCTAGCCAACGGACAGCTAGCTAGCCAACGGACAGCTAGCTAGCCAACAGCTAGCTAGCTACACAACATATAACTAGCTAGACAACAGCTAGCTAGCCAGCAGCTAGCTAGACAGCAGATAGGTAACTATCTAGACGGAGAGATGGCCAGCTAGCTAGCCAAACAGCTAGCTAGCCAGAGGGATAGCTGGCTAGCTACCTAGACACAACCCCAGCTAGCCAAAGAAGTCGAAGGCTAGCCAAAGCGATAGCTAGCTAGCTGAGGGAGTAGCTAGCTGTTCAGGGCCCTAGCCAGCTAGCTAGCTAGCTACATAGCTAGCCAGCCAACTGGTTAGCTAGCTATGCAAGGAGGCTGCAACAGCAGACGGTGACTCAGTCCTGCAAATGCTGCTGCAGCAGCAGCAGCTGCTGCTGCTGCTGCGGCGGCGGCTGCGGGGCTTCACACTTGCAGCAAGACTACCACCCCGTGTCTACTGCTGCGTCTGTTGCTGCTGCTGCTGCTGCAGGAGTAGCATCAGCCCTGCTTCTGCAGCTACTGGTGTTAGTCCTGTTGCTGCTGCTGCTGTTGGTGTTGCTGCTGCTGCTGCATTTGTTTCTGCTGCTGTTGCTTACTGCTGCTGCCTTCAGGTTTTTCGTGCGATGCTCTCGGGTAAATTCAGAGAAGGAAATCTGCTCGCCCCCTCGAAGACACTGGAGCAGCAGCAGCAGCAGCAGCAGGACGTGCAGCAGCAGCAGCAGCAGCAGGACGTACAGCAGCAGCAGCAGCAGCAGCAGCAGCCTATATTGGAGCTACCTTTGACAGGGATTACTGCGAATGCTCTGTTCAATCTGCTGCAATGTATTCACACTGATACGTATGGCACCTAGACAATGCTGCTGCTGCTGCTGCTGCTGCTGCTGCTGCTGCTGCTGCTGCTGC